TGGTTTTACCAATCAATGAATATGTTGAATATTTTTCAAATGTGGCCTGTTCACAATTCAAAGACTGCTGACACAAAATAGAACAATCAAAGCAATAAAGACAGCATATACTGTGTTTAGAGTTTTCCTTTGCTGTGAAAATGGACTGTATGTGAGCGCTATTTTCTCTACGAACCCAGTCGTCCAAAGCAATGCTGTTGCACCTCCAATACTTGTACCACGATCTTTTGTCAGAATCACAAGAAAGAATCACCAGACAATTCAGTGATATAGACAGTATGAGCATCGACCTACGCAACTGGGATTCGATGACATGTGTCAAATAAGTCAGCGCGCCTGACCACCCGATACTTGGGTCTATTTGGACCTACAGCTACCTAGCTCGATTTACATGCTACCTTCAGGTGTTGGTGATTGTTTAGCAAATTAGCTATACATTGAAAGGAACAACTATGCTACTTTTAAAGGTCACATGCAACCTAAAACACAACTTTGCAGATTCTGATACCTTTCGGTATGGACTTACCGAAACAAATCATCAAAAATGCAAATTCAACTTATAAAGTTGAAAAATAACGCGATGAAAAAAACCCGCGCGAAATCGTAGTTCAAACGATTCACTAATTTTCCCCCAGCGTTTGGGGGGAATTCAAGTGGTTCCAACAGCTGGGCTGCGCTCATAGCACGTGCGCAGTGAAATAGGTTCGCGCAACTTGGAAGCTGGTTGTCCGGTGAATACTCGGTGAAGGCTTTGGTGTGAGCTATGTTTCTAATGTTTTGTTGATATCTCAAAGGCCCGAGCTTTTTTATATGTAATGACAGTAAATTAACTGTTTATATAATTTCATTTGTCTATTTCACCACACGTTCTTCTTACCGAGTCACTTTCTCAGTTCGATACTTAAAAGCAATGTCATTATTTAGCGTGGACAGAATTTCTAACTGTTTTATAGATATGTCGTTGTCACAGACAAAACTCAATGTCTTGTTTTATTGACACCTGTGTGTCTGCCTGCCTGTCTGCTAATGACAATATTCAATACACAGCTGCTATCACTGACCACATGCAATTTGAACTAAACACCAATCAGGCTATACACCATAAACAAAACGCATTGATTTATGGCCCGAGTTCGGTCTCTGTCACATTATGTAATTACACAGACAGGCAGGTGTGATACTTGAACACATGACATGTTATGATCACTGTTGATTGCGAAATGTTATACACAAAAAATGAGCATGTATTTAAAACATCTCTATATATACACACACAGTGAGCCGAGAAGGAGATGTATTTCTCCATGTTGTTTGGGATGCATTTGATATCGTCATCGACCTTCGAGATGGCCTGCATGATCAAGTGAGCATCGTACCCTCTCAAATTGTGGAAGACCACGGGGATGTTGATTTTTTTAATATCTAAGTTGCACGCGTTGTGAGCGGCGACTAAATATTTCAATTGAAACCTCACGCGACGCGTTTGGTTCCAATTGAAATTTAGTCGCCATCAATTCAGTAAAGCATGTCTCTGATTTTCAAACACACTAGGTTTATCTCCTCATTCCACACATCGACTTCTCTACTCCATATAGTGGGGATCCACGGGTTTGGGCGTTTCTGTCTTCTCGTCGACCGGTATGTTGGCCGGTGTGCTAGCCGGTGTGCTGTGCTTCCAGGTCTTGTGGACGACCTTCCAGAGAAACACGGCGGCTAGCGAAAGGCTGGTCCACCTTTGAGCCGATTCTACCATCTGCCGCACCTTCTCGATATCCAGACGAGTCTCTTCTTGTTCCTCCTCAACGCTTTCTATTTCCTGCCGGAGTTCTTCGTCGTCTTCCTTGTCTTGTCGACCAACAAGTTCGTGGTTTGCTCCGCACGAGCTGACAACATCGTCGCGGTTTGCTCCACACGAGCCGACAACATCGTCGCATTTTGTTCCACACGAGCCTCAAGCCTCCCCAAGCGGTAGTAGAATTCCTGGACGGTGGCCGCAGTCGACGGTTCTGCAGCAGGCAATACGGTTGTGCTGGAGGTAGACGTCGGATTTAGAGCTATCTCGCCGGCGGGCAAGAGGGTGTTCTGCGGTTGGCAATACGGATGTGCTGGAGTTCGGATTTGTAGCGGGGGAGGAAGAAATGGGCTTTGTAGGTATTTGCATATCTTCTTCTGTATTCCATATTTTGCGTAGTCGATTGGAACCAATTCCAAATCGTTGTTTCGTTTCTTGTGCAGAGATTTTTCCACGCATCTTGCGAATCTCCTCCACTTGGTCTTGCGATAGTTGTCTTTTCGGAGTCATTTTGTTTGTACAATATATCTGCATTCGCACAATTGTCTATATGGAAAAACTAGGCAGAACCTAGGCGGACTAGGCAAACTAGGCAAACTAGGTACAAACTAGGTGCAAACTATGTACAAACTAGGTGCGAACTAGGTAGAACCTAGGCAAACTAGGTAGAAACTAGTTCTGTGGAATAGGACGGCGTCACGACTTACGCGTACGGACACACGCGCATAAACCACTGAATAGACCTCGACGTGTTGGGAGTTTCTAAGACCCCTTATAAAGGAAACTCCACTCGGCATGTCGAGGTCTAGTCAGTGGTTGCTGAAAAAATGATAGACACTTTGCGAGTTTAACGGGTCTAGGCTGGCGAGCTCGGCTGTACATCGAATGATGTCTCTGCTCGAAAATCACTAGGCGCTGGGAGCGGAATTACGTAGAAATCAGCTATAAGGTACCCTGTAATAGAACCATCATTATATAACTACTCAATTCATTAATCTTCGAATGGGAAGAATTATGTTCCAGTGATCACCGTGTCAGTACCCTCAAATGTGGTGGAATGAATGTCCTAATAACACAAAATATTACTGAAGTTCCGAAGCTTTCATGGATTAGAATTACCAGTGGTAATTAAAATAGTCAACCTTTGCACTAGCTTATATTATAAAACAGAACAGATTATGGTTGGCAAATTTGGTTTATATTGACAGCAATGGAATTTCCAAAATTTCATATTGATACAAACGCAAGAAATAGTAACCATTGTGGCACAATATTAATGTCACAGTTATGGGGAATCATTTACACATGTTGAATAATATAATGCTATACTTTACGATAAATGTACAATATTTATCTAAATTTACCTAAAATATATCATTTATACTGATTTGCTCACATTTCAAGGAATTGAAAATGATGTTCTTAAGTTGTACCAGTGGAGAAACATAGATGTGTTTATTGGATACGCAATGTCACCTCGCCCTTTTAATGTGAGCATGTTAAAGCATGTTATAAATGTAGTAAATGTTTTACAAGATCTTTAAATAAAAACACAAAACCTACAAGGACGCACAGTCACATAAATTAGGAAGAGTTTTCCATAAACAGTATGTTGGTAAAGTTTGAGAAATTTAATTTACAGGCAGATCGGTGTCCGGAAAGAAATGGAAAGAAAGTACTCCAAATCAAAATAACTCCGTAGACTATTACTAGTATAAATACATTTATGATTAAAATTAATATAAGGTGATCATTTTTGCATATAATAATATACTAGTATTGTATTTAGGTAACATTTATGAACATAATAAGACCAACCAGAAGTGTTATTTTCCACAACTTAAAATGAAATGTTGAACTAGTATGACAAAAATACAATTACGTGTCTCCTGTAAATGCTGTCATTTCAAGTTTTTCTCCTATGGTCATCATAGTAACACTTTGTACAGAACTGGTGTAATAGACCCATTTAAATGTTTGCCCAACCTAAACATATTAATTGAGCATAAGAAATGACGAGAGTGACAAGATATAAAAAATTGTTTTAGTCTCCTTATCCATTGATACTTGAATTCGATCTGGTGTATTGTGTATTCTTCGAATATATTATTATGGCTGGTTTGAACTATTTGGATTATAAAAGCAAAATATCTGACATCTAGTGTAACCGTGACTGGGGATTTTGGTTACATGTGAGTCGTCGCAGTCTCCACCTGAATGTCTCCTGAAACAAACGAAAGGTACATACAGCTGTGATTTATTTTCCTTGGAATAAATATTTTACTGTCAACTGGTTTTCTTTCTAACTACTCCTAAATCTGATAAAATTTTCATATAACAGGATTTGTGCACAAAATATTTATTGGAGCAAAAGAAACAAACAACTGTACTTTCAGAAATATTGGTGATTTGTCGCCGTTAAATAGTGATGACACCAAAAGTTCCATTTCGCGACCTTTCGTTTCGTCATGTGGTGTACGTCAAGGATGTGTTCTAAGTCTGATATGGTTTAGTTTCTTTGTATAATAGCTGAAGTCATGTATGAAAATTGTGATCATGATATATGTGTCAGCCAGTATATAAGGGATATGCTAAAAGTATCATCAACGTACAGGAAAGTATCTTCAGGGTAGATTGTTTGTTTTAAATTGCTACTAATACTCTTCCCTCCATATGACCTATATACTGAATACAATTGTTACATGACGGATTTGAAAATGCGTTACTGAGTTAAATAGTTATTGCATTTTAGTGAAATTAAATGATACAATTGTGACTCTTTCATGAGCAATATTACAGCTGTATGAGGTTGTTTTAAACAAATCGGGTCTCAGCGCTACCAGTTACCTTCAGAGCCAATATGCAGATGCATATCACCCTATGTTCTTTCTGGATGCGATCAAATCATCTATTTGTGGGATTACCTGTCAGATTTCATCCAAAGTATCCCGACTAATACTAAAGGGTCTATCTGTAGCAGTTTTGTGATCCGCTTTAAACGTACCTTTGCTAATGCTATTTGTGTCTCCTGACGTGCTTTTTGTAATTGTAGTATTATCCAGAACCAGCCCTCTCAGCTTATAATGAAGCCACCTGCAATTCAAGTACAGACGGAGAATGATCATTGCAAACTATTTATGATCATATAAAAACACATGACACAATATACTAATGGTATTTTGTTTTGGTATTTTGTAGATTTTCCCACTCACAGTATGATGACTCCAGCAACGACAGACAGACCAGCAGCCAACATGAAGCTGAGGCCAGGGAAGAAATCAAGGGTTGCTGGGTAGAGTTCGTTGAAGAGGAGGGATGCCACCAATACAGAAATGCTATTCAAGGCAGCCACGAGTCCAAAAGCTCGTCCTGTGAACAGATGATGAACACGCGGAACCTGGATATCCTTACATATTTATACAACCTTCTGTAGCATAGTCTTTGCATTTAAGTACAGAAAAAACGGTTGCCCTGATTCAGTTTTACTTTTGCGGTGACCTCTAAAATAGTCTAACAATACTCTTTGCCAAAGATCCTTCACATAATGTTCAAATTTCTTTGTCCTGCATGCCAAGTTGAATCCGGCGTGGTTTTACAATTGACATTTTTTTCTTTCGTGAGCGTTTTAGAAGTATTGCATCTCTTGCGTTCCAAACTTTGCCTATTGAATCTTTACAACATGAGACCCGTGAAGATCCGGGGTAGAATAGGTCTTCAGCAACCCATGTGCTTGCCATAAAAAGGCGACTATCTTGTCGTAAGAGGCGACTAACGGGATCGGGTGGTCAGTTTCGCTGACTTGGTTGACACATGTCATCGGTTCCCAATTGCGCAGATCGATGCTCATGCTGTTGATCACTGGATTGTCTGGTCCAGACTCGATTATTTACAGACCGCCGCCATACAGCTGGAATATTGCTGAGTGCGGCGTAAAACTAAACTCACTCACTCACTCACTTTACAACATGAAGTTTGTTCTTAACCCTACCCTGTTCATCCTGGCTGACCAAACTGGGCAGGAGTGACCGAATAGCAGTTGATGTAAAGCCTTGAAACATGGAAATCAACGGCACTAAAATGAAAAGATGTGTTTCCATACATCAGTGGTATATGTGACAGATACATTTGACGCACATGCTTAGATATGCAATTACATTGTGAATGATATTGATATTGAACGTTTATACACTCTTCAAAAAAAAAGAAACGCATAAGCCATGTTTGGAAGAATTCATTGCGTTAGTCTAAGCGCAATTACTTCATGTAATTTCAATGGTAATGAAGGTGAACAATCCCTGTTTACTTGAGTCTACAAGATGGCGTCAAAGTCAGTACTTTTTATGGCCACCATTGGCAGAAAATACTGTTCGGCACCGACTCGGTACAGACTAGATAAGTCAACGAAGTCGCTTTTGCGGAATTCTTCCCCGCTCTTCCTGCAATGCGATGGGCAGTTGTTGAAGTGTCTCATGCGTGTTTTGATGTTGACGCACACATCGATCGAGTTCATTCCATAGGTGTTCTATCGGATTAGATCAGACGATCGGGAAGGCCATGGCAAGACATTGACGTTAGAATTGGCATAGTAGCGGACCGTGACGCGTGCTGTATTTGAAGTAGCGTTGTCATGCTGAACTCCCTCTGTAGGTCCATAATCTGAAGTGAGTGAGTGAGTGAGTGAGTTAAGATTTTAAGTCACATCGGCAATATTTCAGCCATATCGTGACTAAAGCAAGTTATAAATATATCAACAATTTACGTGAAATTATAAAATTCTGCCAACGAAGGACAGTAAAATAACTAGGTTATCACAGATATATATGTAAAACTAGTAATTGAATCTAAAACATTTTAACTATAGGGGACAACACAATATAAAAAATGGGCTATAGATCGCTAACAACTGAAGTTAGATCACCATACTAGAGACCATGGGGACTTACAGTACATTTGCTTCCTGCATGGGCCCTAGCTGGATTCACATCATCCCTTCAGCTGTTAGCAATTGAGATAAATCTAGCCATACGTTAAAATTACACATATTCTACGATTAAAAAACGGAGAGTTGAAATTGACTTTGAATGTACCCTCTCGTACCCTCTCGGGAGGACAATAATTTTACAGTACTTTAACCCCCCTCGAGGATACAGCCACTAACAATCTGTGTTACTAATTCGAACTTCCAATCATAAAATATTTATCTATTTACAAATCTGTTAACAAATCTAATTCTTTTAAAAAGGCAATAACTAAATGAGAACTAGCATTATTAAAAAGATCCTTCAATGTTTTGACATTAAAATACTTATCCCTTGTGATGGAATATTCAATGCAGTCAAGCAAGACATGCTTGACTGTGATCCTTTCATCACAAGGGATACAAAACGGAGGATCTTCGCCTTTCAATAAATATTCATGAGTATATCTGGTATGGCCAATGCGACATCGTCGCATAATGACCTCTTCAAATCTGGACGGACAACCCAAGTAGGTGTAACCAATATAGGGTTTTATTGCATGTAACTTATTAATACCTACTTGGGCGTCCCACTTCTTCTGCATCAGATCACGGATGTATGTTCTAATGCCAGCTTTATAATCAGAGTATGGAATAAGAAGTGGTGTCACAGATTTGTTGAGTGCTGCCTTAGCAGCAAGATCAGCCATGGTATTCCCAGAAATGCCAACGTGGCTGGGTAACCAACAAAAGACGATGTCGCACTGGCCAGTAGCAAGCTCATTATACAATTCAATAATTTCTAATAAAAGTGGATGTTTACAAGAAATATTTTTAATAGCCTGAAGACATGAAAGGGAATCGGAAAAGATTATGTACTGTTTATGTTTAGGATGTCGTTGAATATATTTAAGAGCCGTTAATATGGCGTTTGCTTCAGCTGTAAATATAGAACTGTTATCGGGTATTCTAGAAGATATTGTTCGGGATCCAATGACAGTGGCACATGCCACTGCGCCACCATCCTTGGACCCATCTGTAAATAAGGATTTGTATGTATTATATTTATTTCTTAATTGACTAAATTCTTGTTTATACTGTAATTCATTTGTTTCTGATTTTTTAAATGTAGTTAATGTTAGGTCAACTTGTGGCCTAACCAATTGCCAAGGCGGAGAAGAAAGAAGACGGGAAGGAGCTATATTTTCCAGCTCAATGCCGGCAGCAGAAAGAAATGGTTTAATTCTTAAACCAAGAGGCAAAACAAGAGAAGGCTTTTTGTTGTACAACTCCTCATAAGAAGGATTGAAAACACAGTTAAATGCAGGATTAGACTTGGGTAAGGGATGGCTCATCAGCCTCAACATAGAGACTATCAATAGGAGAAGTTCTAAAAGACCCAAGACAAAGTCTCAGACCTTGATGGTGGACTGAATCTAAGAGTTTTAAGTTGCTTTTACAGGCTCCACCATATACGATGGAGCCATAATCAAGCTTCGAGCGGACAAGTGATCTGTAAAGGTGTAGGAGCGTAGTTTGATCCCCTCCCCACCTTGAATTAGACACGACTTTCAATAAATCGAGTGCCTTCAGGCATTTAGTTTGTAGGGATTTAATATGCGGAAGAAAGGTTAAATGGGAGTCGAAAATCAGACCCAAGAATTTGGCCTCTTTGACAACCTTGATGGGAGTGCCATTTAAAAACAGTTCGGGGTCTTTATGAGGCTTATATTTTCTACAGAAGTGTAGACAATTAGTTTTTGATTTAGAAAATTTGAAGCCGTTTTCAAGACACCATTTATTTATTTTATTCAAACACAACTGCAGTTGGCGTTCAATAGTATGCATATTCTTACCGCGACAAGAAATGTTAAAATCATCCACAAAAAGTGATCCATCAATTGAATCGTTTAAAACCTTGGATAAACTGTTGATCTTAATGCTGAATAAAGTGACAGACAAAATACTGCCTTGTGGGACACCCTGATCCTGATTGTAATGGTCAGACAGGGTTGAACCCACTCGGACTTGAAATTGCCTGTCTTTTAAAAACTGTGATATAAAAAGAGGTAAACGACCCCTTAAACCAAAATCATGTAAATCCTTTAAAATGCCATGCTTCCAGGTTGTATCGTACGCTTTCTCGAGATCAAAGAACAGCGATACTGCATGTTGTTTATTAACTATTGCATTTTTGACAAAGGATTCTAATCGTACCAAATGATCAATGGTACTACGATTTTTCCTGAAACCACATTGAATATTTGTTATGAGATTATTGGTTTCAAGATACCATGTTAATCGATTATTTACTATTCGTTCCATGGTTTTACACACACAACTCGTTAAAGAGATTGGTCTGTAATTAGACGGATCAGTATGATCCCGGCCAGGCTTTGGTATAGGGACTACAATGGCTTTACGCCACGAAGTTGGGAAATTCCCTGAAGTCCATATTTGATCAAAAATTCCTAAAAGGATTTCCAAACATGATTCAGGTAAATGTTTCAAGAGCTGATAGTGAATGTTATCAGCTCCTGTTGCTGTATCATGAGCTTGCTCAAGGGCGGTATGGAGCTCATGTAACGAAAATAGTTCGTTATAATCTTCACCATTGTCAGAGTTAAAATTTATTCTTTTCTTCTCCTGTTGTTTCTGATACTTTTGGAACTCAGGGACATAATTTGATGAAGATGAATGCTTTGCAAGAGTTTCACCAAGTTTATTTGCAATGTCAGTTTTATTAGTCAATAAATTATCACCGTCCTTCAAATGATGAACGGTACATTTGGAACCTTTGCCCTTTATTCTTTGTATCATGTTCCATACCTTTGACACAGGTGTACGCGAATTTATTTTAGAAATATAATTTCGCCAAGACTGACGCTTATTTTGTTTAAAAGAACGTCTAGCCTTAGCATTAGTAATTTTGACTTTGTTTAGATTATGGACAGTAGGGTGTTTGCGAAAATATTTTTCGGCTTTCTTCCTACATTTTCTGGCCTGTTTACATTCATTATTGAACCATGGTTTACGAATATGTGGAACTGTAGAGGACTTAGGAATTGTTTTGTCAGCAATGTGATTTAGTATATCAGAAAAAGACTGTATAGGATCTTCACTGTTCCTAAAAAGATCATGCTTCAAGTGTTCAACACACAGAGTCTTATATAATGACCAATCAGCCCTGGCGAAGTTCCTTCTTGATACAGGTGGATCATCACCAGGGCTGATGTTTTTGAGAATGGTGGGGAAGTGATCACTCCCACATAGGTCATCACAGACCATCCATTCAAATTCATTAAATAAGTTGGAATCAGCTAGCGATAAATCCAGGGACGAATATGTTCCCGTAGCTGGATGTAAATAAGTGGCTGAGTCGTCATTGAAAATGCATAAATTATTATCGGAGATGAATTCCTCAAGGATTTTGCCTTTATTATTAGTATGGACACTTCCCCAAAGCGGGTTGTGTCCGTTCAGGTCGCCCATGATAACACATGGCTTTGGAAGCTGATCATAGAGATTTTGAAGATCTGATTGTCGAATATTTGAAGAAGGAGGAATATACAAGCTGCACAGGGTCAATGCAATGTGCAGGGTTAAACGAACAGCAACTGTCTGGAGATTTGTATTAAGTGGGACAGGGCTATGTATGACACCCTGCCGCACCAAAATTGAAGCACCTCCTGTTGCTCTATCTCCTGGAGGAGAGAATGAGTGGTAATCGCTGTACTGCCGTAAATCAAAATTTTCTGTATTTTTTAGATATGTCTCTTGGAGACATAATACTGACGGTCGAAAATCTTGAATTAGTAACTGTATTTCGTTAAAGTTATTTTTAAGTCCTCTGCAGTTCCACTGAATTATATTGGCCAACTGAGTCATGGTGGCTCAATTGGCGATCGTTCACGGGTATGTGAGGAGGAGCTATCCCTCCGCCTGTCCTGAGAGGACAGAGCAACCTCCATGTCTAGAGGTTCAAACGGGTTTTGAAGAGGAACCTCGGAAGGTGAAGAGACAATAGGTGGTTGTTTTCTGTTTAACTTTTTTCCTTTTTTCTTGTTGGTTTGGTCAGTAGCTGGTTGAGAAGATGGCTGTGAAGCAGACGTCTTGGATGTCGCAGGCTGAATTCCAGTCTGAGATCCAGACGCAGTCTGAGTAACTTTAGAAGAAGGTGGAAGGGCTGACGCTGTAAGGGTAGGTTGTGTTGATTTGAGCCATGTGAAGTCGGTCTGACATGAAATGGAGGACGTTGCAACATGGCGTGTGACTGCAGTGACGTTGTTAGATGTAACAGCATGGGAATATAAAGTAGTTGAACTGGTTGGAAGAGGTACCAGCTTTTTAGCTTCAAAATATGAAATATTGTTAGTGCATTTGAGTTTCTGAATTGTTTGCTCACGATGATACAAGGGACAGGACTTGGAAGAAGCCACATGATCTCCTTCACAGTTTGCACATTTGATGGTATTAGTGCATTCAGTTAGGTCATGAGCATCACCACAACGGGAGCACACCGTATGATTGCGGCAGAACTTGGCTCCATGACCAAACCTTTGACATTTGAAACATCGGAGTGGAGTTGGCACATACACCTCTACTCCAATGTTAAAGTAACCAGCCTTTATGCACTTCGGAAGAGCCGAAAGTGCAAAAGTAAACAAGTATGTGTTCAGTTTAATAACTGTTCCATCCTCTTTCTTTTTTTGAAAATCGCTTTACAGCGACTACCCCTTGATTCTGTAATTCAGTCACAATGTCCTCCTCATTCATGTCAGAAAGACAATGAGCCCTGTCTCGTACTATGCCTCTGCAGGAATTCAGAGTCCTGTGTACAGAGACAACAACCGGTGTATTCACAAACTGTTTTAATTTCAACAGATTGTCCGATTGCTGCCTCCGTGTACATTCCACTAACAGAGAACCATTACGGAGTCGTGTTACATCCTTAACTTCTCCACAGACACCTTGTATGCCCTTGGAGATAGCGAAGGGGTTTAATTTTAAAGGATTTTCATTTGCAGATGTGATAACAATGAACCTAGGCCATGATTCAACAAATTCAGTAGATTCTTCATCAGAAGATGAAGATTCTATGCACCTACGTTTATGCTTTGAGGAACCAGATGGAATTGTAAGAGCCATAGTGTAGGGAAAGTGTTCAACATCCCTGCTCCCCACCCACCATGGAGTGTCAACAAGGACGATGGTACAGCTGAAACCAGCATGTTCCACCAGGGTTACAAGGATGCTATACTCCAGCAAATAAACACTTGAATAGCTGTCGAATCTAACAGAATAAATGTCAGACTGGTTCGCCCTTGACACCTTTCTGGAGAAACACAGAATTCAGAGGTCTCTATTGCCAGATTGGCCCATGAGCCACCGCCTTCTGGCATAGGACTCTAGGCAATTAAATGGATCAATAATTTATAAGTACAAATCAAAATTTCAATAGAACATTTTATTGATGACATTCATTTTAATCAATCACAATAGTGTTGAAAAATACACAATTTAAAAATGAATGTTTCCATGCGCAGGGCATGACGTGACCAGCCGATTGGTTGAACCGGGCCAGTTCAACCACCCGTCTAGGTGAAGTAAGGGGCGAAGTGGTGTGTTGGGCAAAGGAACACTGTTCCTGGCCCCAGTGCCCTCAACCACCAGCTTCCCGTCCTCCACCGACACAGGGGCGCAACCCACGGCCAACAGGTTGGTGGACCTAATATCCCCCCGGGTCCACAACGGGGGTTGAAGGGCGCTTAGCGTGACCCAGCACCCACCACGAGGAGGTGGCCCTTCATGGGTGCCCATAATCTGAAGTGTGTGACGTGCAAGGACTTCGTTGATGCACCGATTTGCTGTCAATCAGATCTCTGTGTGTTGGATGTCTCACCCAAAACCATGACACAGCCCTCAAAAGAATCTGTCGACCTGTCGAATGCAATTAGGGGCAAAACGTTCATTTCTATGACGGTGGACACGTTCTCTTCTAGCGAAAAAGAAATCGTGATTCATCACTGAACCAGATTCGCCTCCAGTTTGTAGGGTTCCAGTTCCTGACTCTACAACATCACCGCAAGCGGATTGCGTCGATGGCAGTCTCTCAAAACAGGGGCGACAATTGGCCTTCTTGGTCAAATCCGTATTTCAGGCAATCGATTTCTCACAGTTTGGTCGGAAGTTCTTCTCAAACCAGGGATGCGTTGTGCAGTCTCCACGGCTGTGGCAAAACGATGACGCAAGTGAGCAACCCGGATGTAGCGGTCATGGGCTTGGGTGGTAACTCTTGGACAACCGCTTCTCGGACGATCTTTGGCGGAATTGGTCTACAGGAAACGATCCCAAAGGCAAGATATGGTGCTCTGATGAACGTTGAAATGTCGGGCAACTGCAGTCTTAGACTCCCCAGCTTCAAGGCGGCACTCAGTAGTGGCATGACGATTTCCGCTTTTCCAGGCAAAATCGAATGACGAAAATCAACACAATGTTTGGCTTTTTATAGTGATCGAATATTTCTTCAAACGCTTCTAAAACAAGGGTAACTGCCGCGTTTTGGCGCTGAAGCTGTTTTAATCACACAAAGATGACGTTTGGGCAAGAAATAGTATATTTGTATTGTGTTTGCCGTAGCTACATGAGTTCAATATTCTCAAAATTACCTATGAGTTTCTTTTTTTAAGAGTGTATTTGTTATTACATACCTTCGTAAGTGAGGACCTAAAAAGTACATTTCAAGCTGTTACCTAGAAAGGCATGCCATGTCCGTTTGCTGAGTCCCAATAATACCAGACCGATGCCTTTGGACGTCAAGCCCCAGAGTCCTAAAGTGGTGTTCCTCATCTTCCTACACAGAGGCAGAACTGTCACCAGCATTAAACTACGAAGGAAGTTCTCCAGACCTTGGTAGTAACCCAACGTTGTCTGTGACCAGCTGAGTGGAGCTCGCCTTGTGTACAGGAGGAGGACGTCATTTTCACCTGAAACCCGCCAAGAGGTGACCTGTGATTTAGTGTGGGCACAATGCGCATAGCGGTATACTTCCTCGTATACATGCGGATGCCACTCGGTAAAATTATTGGTGTGATGAATTCAATGTGGAAGGTTAAACGAACACAAACAACAATGAAAGACCCCTTTTGCTATGACTATATTATTTTTGTACTTGCTATTCATCGTTTTATAAGCTTTACATTAAATGCTTATTTGTTTTATCCAGATTCGTGTCGTTTTTGTAATAGTAAGGGAAGCAACTCTTGCTTGACCTTGGGTCTTGATTCAGTAGTCCGGACTATTCGCAATCCGGACGAATTTACTGAGAAACGCAACCGTCCGGATTAACGAGGCTCCACTGTATTCTACTGGTCTAAACGATAAAGATGAAGAAATATAAGCTAATCTGTACTCACACACTGCTGCGATAACTTGGAGGTTGAAGACAATGAGCAGTAAGACTATCCAGAGAGTTCTCTTCCCTTGCCTCTTCTTCATCACACAACGACCAGACTCCTTGATTGATCCAAGAATCCAATACTCGCAGAAGCTTTCACTCTCGAGTCTAGTTGTTCCGACCGTTAGGTTCTCCAGACGTAAGGTAAAGTATACCATTCCTAAAAAGGAACATCCACTCATGAACGCGAAGACGAATGTGAAACTTGTATTGTCCAGCATGACTCCAGATATGAAGACACCTACAGTTCCAGCTAAGAAGATAACAGCCTCCAGGATTCCCAATCGCGTAGTTCTATTGGTGGGATTAGCAATGTGCGTCACGTAGCTGTTCACAGCCATTATCATGGCCGTGAATCCCCCACTCAGACCATTTACTGCACCAGCGATCATCACATACTCAACTTTACTTGAAGGGTAAATTGACAGAATCAAATACACAATGGAAGACAACGTTGCCCCCACACTGGGTAAAAACAAAGGTAGTTTCCGACCCACTTTGTCACCCCAGGATCCGAGGATAAACACTACAATCAAACCTGACGGAATACGTTCTACAATGTTTTTCTTTAAGATCCAGTAGGATGTCTCAGACTGGACATAATCCTCTTCTGTTTGGTGGTCCTCTTGGAACGTCTTGTTGCGCAGGCTGGTGCAGAAAGTCTCGTTGTACTTGTCAGTGCAGGCCTTGTCATACACAAAGGCCTGGTAGGTTAAGTTTGTCAGGAAGAACGTGAGCATATAAAGAAACAGACCTGGTTCGACTGTTATGACATTCAGATCGAACTGTCGTTTGCAACATCTAATAACAGCCATATTTTGGACAAAATCTGAAATTACAAAATGTGATTTCTTTGTGATTAACACATACTAGGTAAAAGTCATAATACCGCACAGAATGCATGTTTTAAAAACACATTAAGAATAAAATGTTTAAATCCAACATACCACAAAGATTGATGGAGATAAAAAACTGAGAATACCCGTCATGAGACATGATAAGATAACAATAAGGAGAAAACCAGTAGTATAGGACCACTACCTACAGTCAAATGTAAAATTTATAAATGATTTCTTAAAAGATGACAATACATTCCTTTCTTATATAGAATTCGTAGAACTGTATGAGGTTAGAACAAATTTCCTTGAATATACAGGATTATTATCTTCATTGAAAACATATTCAAAACAGAGTTCGTTCAAAATTAATATCAGAAAGATTTACCTTTTATTCCTCCTAATTTGGAAATACTACTCAAAGCTAAGAAAGGATGTAGCATATTTTACAAGAGGCTTCATCACAAGGAAGCTATAAACCAAAAACTGCTTTATCAAAGTAAGTGGGAAAAAGAATTCAACATAAATATCACTCTCAATCTATGGAAGACATATAATTTTATACCATTTCGAGCATCATATAGTGCTAGGCACAGATGACTTCAATACCGTATTCTCCATAGGATCCTTACAACCAATAAAGATTTATATAAATACAAACTAATAAAATCACCACTATGTACATTTTGCGATGTTGAAATAGAATCTATCATTCATTTATTATATGAATGCAAACATGTCAATAAGCTGTGGCAAGATCTACTAGACTGGATTGAAAATGAAACAGACACCCAATTGAAATTAAACGCAGAAACCATTATTCTCGGATTCAAAGAGAGAAGAAATGACGTACTGAATTTTATTTTGATATTAACTAAAGAGTATATATGTTCTAAAAAGTTAGCAGACATTGTACATTCTCTCGCTGGTCTGAAACTAACATTGAATTACAATTACCACTTACACAAATTTAATGCATGCTCTCACTGCAAATACGACACTTTTGTTACATTTTGGTCGTGTTGCCACAATCTATTCACATAGATAATGACTTTGTAATTTGACCCCTATATAAAGCAACAAAAATGCTGACTTGTTAAATGTGCATGATATGCTGTACCCAGACTAAACGAAATAAAGTGATTAAATGAGAATACCCAATAGATTGTGTTTTGTTGATAAAACATACGATTGATGCATTCTTGAATGTATACGCATTGCAGTATACATTGTAGGCGTGCTTGGAATTATAACAAAACATGTTAGACGAGGTTTACAGCCTTAATTGCAGAACACAGACACACACACAGACACACACACACACACACACACACACACACACAGAAAAAGAAAAGACAACCTGACGGTTGATGCAAACAGGGTAAAAGCTCCATTGTGTCTACACTTTACTAGTTTTTTTCCATCTCTTGTACCAGATTCTTCCATTTTGGATGGTGATGTTAAGTATTGATCAATTCAACAGTTGTCTTACTATCTCAGCAGAGTTGTATTAACGATGTGAACATACACACGTGCAGTGTATATAACACTTCATTTCGTCGTATATGTGAAGCCTAGTATTTAACTGATATTGTGCCAACAAGTACTTGTTGCCAGCAGTGAAGTATTTCCCAACAACGTGACATACCCGGAGTGTAAGTATGCCACCACAACGTGATACACAAGGTCATGAATAATTCGACTAATGCACAAGAACAAGGCATCAGGCTAAAAGTACTTTCATTTTTAGGCAACCTTTAGCATTTCATTGTTTCCGCTTAATTTCAACTGAAGTTCACAACATGGTGTCAACAACAATTAGTCATCACTAATATTTTATTTGTGTTGAAGTTTTTATATTCTGATGTTCTAGAGTTTGATGTAATGGAGGTATTTAGGCTAGATAAGTGGGAAAGCGCATATCTCTATCACTTCACATTACGTCGAAACAAGCGTCTGAAGGTATGTTCTCAATGGGTGTTTTCTCTTATTATCATTTTCAGTCACTGGTTGACGTAATTCAAAATGTCTTGATGCTGAAAATAAATATGTCTGCTTTCCACCTACTTATTCACTGGTTTTACACACGGAATGTAACTGAATGTCACGATCGATACTAACAAATGGTTAAGACGAACTTGCCATGCTTTAATAACTCTCCAGAATTTGATGCGTTGCCAACTCGGTTATACAGTTGAATGTGTAGTAGCTGGCAAGAAAAATGATGAATATATCATTTTCGAGTTTGAAATGAAATATTCTCAATTGAAACAACGTAACCTTTGTTCATGCTCCACTGTCCAGTGTTATTTTCCGTCATTGAGCCTTTAAATAAAATACAGAATGCTGCGTCATGGGACACATTATGCTTCCAATTGTCCTATAAAACAGGTACAACGTATAGAAGGCAATTCCTGTGTGACTAGCTATGTTTTGTCCCATTACAGGCCGCGGCGCATTAATCAGCACCTTGAGTCTGCCATTGGTAGGCTTAATGATGGACAATCTGTTACAACAGATGCACGAGTCTTGGGTTGTCGTCGTCAGACAATAATGTAAGGATCCGTGTGCAACAGACGATGATGACGTAGAAACGTAAGAAATACTTTTCTTGTGCTATGAGTTTTGTTTTGTCTTATACACACACACACATGTACAAGGTGCAGAACACATTTTCCGCACGTCCAGCTTCTCATTGTCCAATACACTCATGAGGTATGTACACAAGACATTTCTTGTTCGACTAGCTTCGTCTGTCTCTTACTGATTCGTTATTTGTTAGTTACTCTAAGAAATATCACACTCGCACTAGCTTGAAGGGGTAACTTACCTCATCAAGCCATATGGGTGAACTGAACGGGTGGGGAAAGACACATCCACAGGTTAAGGCAACCTATGCAAAACACAACAATATAAAAGTACAGCAAGTCATCAAGTCATTCTGTCAATACGTGGCAGAATAAAATGATAAACGGTGATAAACCGTGTCAAGGGAGGTGTGTTTGACCTGTTTTTTTTATGACCCACTGATTTAGATATCCCGAATCGGCCCCGGACATTCGCCTGCATCCCCAGCGTGATAAACTACAAGTTCAAATACAGGCCGCGGCGCATTAATCAGCACCTTGAGTCTGCCACTGGTAGGCTTAATGATTGACAATCTGTTACAACAGATGCACGAGCCTTGGTTTGTCGTCGTTAGACAATAATGTAAGGATCCGTGTGCAACAAACAGATACTGTTGCATATCGTCTATGGAGTGGCGTCAGACGATGATGACGTAGAAATTTGCTCCAATCTGCACTAGCACACAGCCGCTGAGAGGTTGTCAGGACAGACCTGCAGTCTGCAGGTATCCATAGACTATTTTCCATGTACAGGACCAATCCTGAAGCAATTTTATGGTTCTCAACACTTAGAATGGTCCGCAGACATGCCAGACTCATCCATAGGCAGAGGAACTTTACTTTAGGCTTTGCCGATGACAGGTGTGGCACCAGAGTTGGTATCATCACGCAAAGAGTTGTGTTCGTGGGGTTGACTGATTTGGAGGGGAAGCCTAATGGTTTCGTGAGCCTTTTGTGTCTACGGTCGATCTAAACTGACTGTAGTCCATTAAAACCATAATGCAATACAGTGTTTATCACATGTTGACCCCAGTCCTTCTTCCATTCGTGCAGCTACATGGTCCTGGACTGACATTTCAACATGACAATGCCACACCCCATACTGAAGTTCCAACACAAAACCTTCATGTAACACAGGCGTTGATACCTACGATAGCTTGCCCTTTCGCCAGACTTGAACACGACCGAACCCATTTGGAATTAACTGGGAAGACAAGTGTTACAGCAGATGAATCAACACCAGATCTTGCAAGAACTTACGGAAACACTCATTGAGAAATTGCAACGACTTCCGGTTAGAGCGCCCCCACAGGTTCTTCTGTCCATGACACGGCCGCCCAAGGAAGTTACAATGGCTATTGGCCCTTCTGTTCCAACAGTTTTATATGTTTGAAGTTGGAGTTGGAGTTACATTGAACGTCAAATGACTGTCGTCCAGGAAAATCGTAGTGTCATACACTATTGCGACCGTGCCGGTGGGGTAGCCTAGTGGTTAAAGAACGAATAAACTTTGTTTTTTGTACACTTTTAACCATTACATATGAAGGACTTGTGGTTAGTCTTAAGCGGATCACCAAATTCATTCTTCAAAAACTTGTGGTTAATAAATACCGAGCGATTAAAAGTTGCCAAAAAGCCGTCTGCTTCACTCTCGCCCGCCAACGAAACCACAGACAGGTTACGTAACTCACCAGAGCACTGCAGATTTTTCTAACAATGGCAAAGTGGGGTTGTTTAGTCTACGGATTCAAATACGTCAAATGTGTGTTTTTAATATCATAGCAGGAAATAGATGTCATAATTTTACATAACATGATTGAATATCGAGGTAAAAACACAGAAATAAGATCAAATTGGATCAGTCATTATACAAGCATAAGAAATCGGAAAATCCTACACAGTTGGGATACTTTATTACAATCAGACAATAAGTAACGGGATATTTTCAAATAATGGTATCTGATGGGCATCCACCCTTCCTAATGTCCCACTGCAATTTTGACAGAATTGTCTATGAAAACAAGTTAACTCGGAAGCTAGGCAAAGCAGGTGACAAGATTAAATGACTGTAGATTGTGAAAACATAAAACTTTCATTTTCACAACAATTGACACGATTTAAGGTTTAGACAAAACTGTAACAGGATAATCTACCTTCGAAAATGTACATGAATTCTACATAGCCCCTCGTATGTATACCTCACATTACGTCACGGACAAGCGCACCTCTGATTGGTTGAAATTTCGTTTGCGGGAGAGAATTGTGCACTGTTGTCAAAAAGGTCAATTTAAGTTAATTAAATGTCGAAATGAATGGTTTTAATGGCGGGGTTTCATCTATAACGATGCCAATAAATGATTTGTGCATTTGTACCCCACTAGCATATACATGTATGTGATCTTTAAAGCGTTCGCTCGTCACGCTGAAGACCCTGATTCGTTCCTCACATGGGTACAATGTGTGAAGCCCATTTCTGGTGTCCCCCGCCGTGATATTGGTGGAATATTGCTAAAACCGGCGTCAAACTGAACTCACTTACTCGCTCACTATTGCGGACACCTACATGGCCCTGGACTGCCATTTCAACATCAGGGTGTTGTCATGGTAGTACTGGCTGATGACACGTCCGTGAATAACACTTAAGTTGATGTTGATGCAAGTCACAGTGATCCCACCCAATACCATTACAGAGCCAGCCCAAGACACTATAGTTATCGGCATGAAAATGCTCAATTCGTCCACGCAACATTCCGTTGCGTCTGTCAAGGAGGTCCAAAGCAAACAGTGACTCATCCTAACACACAACGTTTGCACAACGACGATTTGTAAAGGGTTAATGTGATGGAATAACACGTGAACGTGGGGCGTGCAGGTTCCTCCTGTGTAGCCGATTACGAATCGTTTGTTCACTCACGCAAACACCTGTAGCTCTGTGTGGCTCATCTTCAAATAAATTTAGGATGCACTTTGAACACGATTTTGTAACTCAGACGTTTTGGTCTGTATTCTACAATGTTTACCTCTTAGTAACTTGCTCTCTATTACAATACTGACTAACTTGACGCTATTTCGTATACCTGATTTCTGGTTTGTTTCATATTTCCATGTTTTAAAATATATTCCAATGTGTCAGACGTTTAATTAGTTCTATCGTTTCGTTTTACATTCCACTGGGCTTGTAAACTCATCGACCACACATTTTGGTTTAAGAAGGCACGACATATTCAGTTGTACGAAAATATGTACATAGCTGTAGGGATCTATGTTACCCATGTTACGAATTGTCTGGCTTCGTGTGTGCTGAATGAATTTGTAATATGTGCTTGGCCACTTTCGACTAATAACTATTATTTCAGTCAGGGTCAATATTCTTCGTCAGTTGAAACAGTGAATTCCTTTGAAGTCATCCATGTCTCATGTAAAACATTTTTCTTGTACGCCTGAATCCACACGAGTGTGCCGTGGGATGCATATTGTTTGTCTTTGTGAGTTTGTTTTTTGGAGCGTGTTGCAATATATACAGGGTAATGTATGGCTTGATAACTATTGTACTACAATCCGATATGTACAATCTGTTGAAACCATAATACCAGCTTCAAACTGCAGCTTGGACAGCTGACCATTACTTCTCATATACACTGGTTACAGTTTGCAGAAAATCTGCTCTGCATTCTTGTAAACCACAGCTTCACAGCAGGTGCCCTATTTCGAGCAGAGAGGGTACCTGTATGATGTCTCACGTAGTCGGTTAGTAAACTATTATACCATTTATGAAATATCAAAGGCGTTTTTTATTACAATAACTTTAATTGTGCAATACCAATTTCACGTCATCATTTTGAAAGTATTCCTGTTTTGGACCAGATGAATTCTTCACATCTCATCTAAAAACTCTAAGGAATGAGTCGAGTTTGGGATTAACTGAGGGTTTGGGGGATAATGTTTGCCATTCACCTTGGCCTTAAGATAAAAATGTGTATCTAAGTTTTATGACAATTTAAATCAAATACAAACTATTAATCCTAAACACAATATACCTGTAATTAGAAGAAATGTGGTCCCAAAATCCTAAAAGTCCAGGCCTTCCCAGACCTCCCCCTTCCCCGCCCCAACGGTTCCTGTAAAATATATAAAATTTGGTTTGTCTCCTTTATCCAGTATGTTAATACTAGAACCTGATCTATCTGGAGTATTGTGTATCTCTCGAACATATTAATTAATATGATCCGTTTGAACTATTTGTATTATGAAGGCAAAAGATCTACATCTACCCGAGTTGTGACTAATGATTTTGTTTTACAAGTGAGTCGTCGCAGTGTCCACCTGAATGTCCTCTGAAACAAAAGAAACATACATACAGTTGTGTATACATGCATTTTTTCTCTGTTTTGTCCTTGTAAATAAGGCACTGACTAATTTTCTCTCGAATATATATTTGACTGTCAAGCTGGTTTTCGTGTGAACTACTCCACCACTGATGAGTCTTTGGGGTAGTCTAGTGGTTAAAGCGTTCGCTCGTCACGCCGAAGACCCGGGTTCAATTCCCCACATGGACTCAATGTGTGAAGCCCATTTCTGGTAGTAAATCTAAACTCACTCACTCCACCACTGATAACATTTTCACATACCGAGCTTTGTGCACAAAATATTCTTTAGACCAAAAGGAACATACAACTGTACTATCATTGTTTTCAGAAATGTTTTTGTTTTGTCACTGTCTAATAGTGGTGATACTAAGTGCCTGCATTCACGAAGGTTATTTGTTGTTTCGTCATAGGATGTACGTCAAGGATGCTTTCTAAGCCTGATATTGTTTACAGTGTGCTAAATAAACTAGCTACAGACATGTATGAACATTGTGATCATGTTATATTTGTCATCCAGTACATAAGGGATATGTTCATAGTATCCTCTATGTACAAGAACATATCTTCTACGTATATGATAACCGCCCCAATATAGGACATACATATGAATATGCTGAATAACATTCATATGGCGGATTTGAAAATACGTTATTTAGTTGAAAATCAAATGTTTCGTTTAAGCTTCGGAATTAACAAACATCCTCAATGCAGTCATTGGCATTCAGAGGCAATATTTAGATGCATATCACCGCATGTTCTTTCTGGATATGATCAAATAATCTTTTGAGGGCATTACCAGTCAGATGGTATCCTAAGCAATACCTACTGGTACGAAAGGGTTTGAAATGGGGTCAGCATTGTCGCAGTTTCGTGATCTGGTTGATAAATGCTGCTGATATAGTTCACAAGTCAGTGGCGTACCCAGGAAAGTAATGAAGTGTAGGCACAACTGGTCGTGCGAGTGTGCGTAGAGCGAGACTTTAAGAGAGGTTTCCCCCCACCCCCGACCCCACCGACACACCAACCCAACAAAATTTTCATAAAAGGGTTGCTCCAGACAGCATTTCCTGCTATATTTTTCTGAAAAAAATTATTTCCAACTTTTCATCTAAATATGTTTTCATTGGGAACTTACTGAAACTTAACTGATACATCTAGTATTCTATCACATATATTATTACGTATTTAAGCAAAGACAAAATAGCTATTTCAGCAAAAGTCGTTATTCTATTTGGCTGTAAAATGTTATGTACCAGCTCATTTACGTTTTAAAATATAAGAAAAAACATAGAAAGGGAGACTACTCTCGAAAGAAATAGATCCATAACATCCCACATGTGAAACAAATTGCCGAAAAAATTAAGTGTAGGCACGTGCCTAAAGTGTCTAATAGCAGGTACGCTACTGCAATTGATGAGAGTGAGTGACGCACAGCTGACACTGCTGACCAGTCGTAAAATCATATACACTTGGGGTGTTTTCGCAAGCTCAACAAGACGTACCTTTGCTAATGTCACCTGTGTTTACTGTCACGTTTTTGGTAATCATAGCATCATCCAGCACCTGTCTTTTCAGAACAAAATGAAGCCACCTGAAAGTACAGATGGGCATGAACATTGCAACGTATTTAAATCTATAAAAGACATATTGCAAAACATACTTACTAATATTTTTTTATGGGATGTTTTTCGATATTCTTCATTGTGTCTAAGGACACAGTGACCACTCACAGCATAATCCCTGTAGCGACGCCACACAGACCAGCAGCCAGCATGAAGCATAAGCCAGGGAAGAAATCAAGGGTTTCTGGGTAGAGAGCATTGAAAATCACAGATGCCATCAACCCACCCATGCCATCCACTGCAGCCGCGAGTCCAAACATGCGCCCTGTAAACAGGTGAAGAACACAATGAAAGTGGCCATGCGTATATATCTATACAACATTTTGGAGCATATTCTTTGTATTTAAAGTACAGTAAACGTTCTGATTCAGTTTTCATTCTTTACGCTCCAAATGCCCAGTCTAATATCTATATTTTTACACGAAATCGAATGTTCATTCAGTCATTCATTCGTAGCAGTATGATCTTTACAACATAATGTTTGGTCTTAGCCCTACCATGTTCATCCGGCCTGACCAGATTTGTCATGATTGACCGAAGAACAGCCAGTGGAAAGCCTTGAAACATGGAAATCACTGACACTGAAATAAATGTGAAATACATTTGATGTACATGCTAAGATATGCAATCAACTTGTGAATCATATTCAACTATCTGTTATCTGTTATAATTATATACCTTTGTGATTGTGACCAAAGAAGGATGAACGGCATGTGTACATTTCAAGTAGTTGCAACTTACCTATAAAGACTTGCCATGTCCGTTTGCTGAGTCCCAATACCACCAGACCGATGAGCTTGGATCAAGCCCCAGAGTGATAAAGTGGTGTCCCTCAACTTCCTACACAGAGGAAGAACTGTGAACAGCATTAAACTACGAAGGAAGTTCTCCAGACCCTGATAGTAACCCAACGTTGTCTGTGACCAGCTGAGTGGAGCTCGTCTTGTGTACAGGAGGAGGACGTCCCCCTTCACCTGTAGCACACCAAGAGGTGACCTATGTTTTAGTGTGGGTAGAATGCATATAATGTGATACTTCCTCGTACATTCCACTGGTATAAAGTATTAAGAAATAAAGGTTAATTTGTACTCACTCACTGTTCCGATAACAAGGAAGCTGTAGACAATGAGCAGTAAGAAGATATAGAGAGTTCTTTTCCCTTCTCTTTTCTTCATCACACAACGACCAGACTCCTTGATAGATCCCAGAAACCAATACTCGCAGAAACTTTCACCCTCGTGTCGTGTTGTGCTGGCTGTTAGGTTCTCTAGACGTATGATAGCGTATACAAGTCCTATGACGGAGCACCCAGTTATGAAAGCGAAGACAAATGTGAAACTCGTACTGTCCAACATCACTCCCGATATAAAGACGCCAACTGTTCCAGCTAAAAAGTTAACAGCCTCTAACAATCCTAATCGCGTAGTTCTATTGGCGGGATCAGCAATGTGCGTCACGTAGCTGTACACTGCCATCAGCTGAGCCGAAAACCCCCCAGACAGACCATTTAATGCCGCAGCAACCATCACATACTCCACTTTACTTGAAGGGTAAATGGACATAAGCAAGTACACAATGTAAGACAACGTTGCTCCCACACTGGGTAAAATAGCAGGTAGTTTCCGACCCACTTTGTCACCCAAGGATCCGAGGATAAACACTACAATCAAACACGACGGAATTCGATCTACAACGTTTTTCTTTAAGATCAAGTAGGACGTTTCAGACTGGACATAATCCTCTTCTGTTCTGTGGTCCTCTTGGAACGTCTTGTTGCGCAGGCTGGTGCAGAAAGTCTCGTTGTATTTGTCAATACAGACCTTGTTATACACAAAGGCCTGGAAGGTTGGAAGTGACAGAAACATAGCCAGCATGTAAAGAAACAAACCGGGCTCGACTGTTATGAGATTGAGATCGAACTGCCGTCGGCAACATCTAATCACAGCCATATTTTGGACACAATCTGAAAGTAGAAATGCGGTTTCTTTTTGACTCAAAAAGACTGGGTAAAAGTTATAAAGCAACACAATTAACGCTCTAGAAAACATAAATAATAAATCGTTTACATCCACACATACCATAAAAAGTGATTGACAGGAGACTCAGAACAGAACACAATCGACTGGATTTGTTTGGAAAATATATTTGATGCACTGATGCGTTCTTGAATGGATACGCATTGCGTTATACATTGTAGTCGTGCATCGAATTTAACATTCCCCCAATGTTAGACAAGATTTAAAGCCTTTATAACAGAAACTTAATATCTGATAATGAGTCACATTTTGGCGTCCGATGTTAAGTTCCCCAAATAAACATGGTTGGTGGAATTGGAATAATCAAAAGTTCATCATGGCTCCACTTTACTGCTTGCGCATCCCTTTTAGCAGATTCTTGCACTGTCAATGCTTATGTTATGTATAAAACAAGTCAAAAGTTCCCATATTATCTCAGCCGAGCTGTACCAAAGATATGAACATATATACCTCCAGTGTCTATAGTATTTCATGATGAGGTTTCTTTTGAAGCCTGGTATTTAACTGTGGTTGTGCCAACCAGTGGGGTTGTTACAGGAGAGAAGTATATCACAATGGCACGGTGCCACAACAACGTGACCCACAAGGTGGTGATTAATTCGACTGATTTTCACATATTATGTTTTCCATATTATGACGATTTTCAAATGTTAAACCATATATGGCAGCTATATGGCATTGTATAGCAACGTTGCATTTGTATTACACTGTTTTAGATACATTTCAGGACAACATTGTTTCAATAACAATTGGCCAACGCTGATATTTTATGTAAGCAGTACTGTTTAAGATATCATATACTTAGAAGATAAACCTACTGTGTGGGAAAATCAGAGGTATATAACCAAATTATAATAGCTCTAAATTTCATTTAAAACCGAACGCGTAGCCATGACAATTTTATGAACAATTTCAGGTGCAGCTCTTTCTTTGGTTACGAGTCAATACGTGAAGCGGCCTCGCATTCCAATCTCAAGTGGCATCGCCCGAAACGGGGTGATTGGTGGCAAACCGTCAATGACTAACAAACTCCAGATTCAGTAATAACAAATCACGTTTTGTTTTTTTCAATGCATCAATCACCAATCATTAACTGATAAGTTGGAAAACATATATCAAATAAGTTTAAAAAGCTTGGTTCACATTTGAAAATTCCACCGTAGACCCTTTCCCCACCAGAATAATGGCAGCAACCTCATGGCCTTGACCTTTTCTCGGAAGTCATTGTTTACATTTACGTGCAAATTTGGAAAGATGCGACAGGAGAGCCTCTGACAGTTTGCGCAAGGTTAACCCGATTGTATGACTGAGATAGTCTTTGATATCTAATTACTGGTACTGGTACAAAATACAAGAGTAGAGGCGGTTTTGCTGTAACGAGAAGTCCGTGTTGTACCGAATATGGATACTGTTGAATTTTGCGCCCTGTCAACTTGACGATTTCATGCACCTCTACGTCAGCGTGCGACAGCTGTGGTGACTCTTACACACTCATGTGTGTACTTTGTGCTCAAATTCGATTCTACAGATATTATTTTCTACATTTTGGAAAGTGTTTTGTGACCTAGTGGCTTCAAAGTGTAGTGAATTCAAATTGAATTGGATTCGCTGGCATGTTCGCGAGTCTGTTGACAAAGAGCCAGATTTGTGGTGATATTTCCGAAAGGATGGATCAGGACATGAGGGTGTACCTCTGGCATAAACACGGTAAGGTAATTAATTATACTTTAATAGACTACTTAGATCAAGCAGTGTAATGGATAAGAGGGATAATGACTAAGCTAAATAACTTTTTCAACGATATTATATCGATACTTTTAGAAAAAGAATATGTTGGGCTAAACAGAACGGTTTGCAGATTCTGTAATTGTGTTTTACTACCGCTAAATTTGAAACAGTACAAATTTCAAAATATCATTTTGTTTGAATTGATAACCCAACTGTTTATTTATGTGGACGGAAGGCATTAAAATTTCTTCGGCGTTCGATGTTAATGCATCCTCCGTTATCGGATCAAGATCAGCGGCGATATCGTTGACGAAAGCTGATAATAAATTTAACACGGAAATTATGTAGCAGTCTATTGCTGGATCTATTCTGACATAACATAGACTCAACGTAAACATATTTGTTTTTGCTGAATTTTTATTCGGAAAGCAGACGATGTTTTGATCTTGTTCGACTGAATATTTGTTTCCATGCTTTCGAAGTACTTTTGTATGTATAAGCACCTATTGCTGTGATTTACGCAAGTAGTGAGTCGAGCCCGTCATCGCTAAATCCATCTTTAAAGACATATGTGTAATTTCCGACAGCAAAATCGCCGTAATTTATCGATGCATCGGTAGGTTGTTTGGTGTCCGCCATGTTGGTGGGCAGACAAAAATAGTGCATTACCGTAAACCATGTATGATTGCGCACGGAAAATCAGAGACTTGTATAACGTGATAATATACCTCTGAATGACTTTAAGCTTCACTTCACTTATTCGCTGGTTTTCTACACTGATGGTAACACCGTGGTGTGTGTTGGAAAGTGCAATTGCTGTATCCTAGGCCTCAGATGTTTAAAATGTTCATGAACCATTTAACACAGTGATGGAAAATGAAAGTGGCAAGAAGGGTTTATTTATTACACCTGTTTTTCATAATGTGTTTCCTATATTAACAGATGTGTGCAGATGGTGTATCAGCCTTTTCAGACACATGTAATCAGTTGCAGAAGAAGAATAACAAACCTTTTACTTTATCAAGAAACACAGATACAAAACAAAATCAAAACAAAAACAAAGTTATTGTGTTCAGGACTGGTAGTCCTCTTCGCTGTTATGATATTTTAATGAGGAACAAACCGAAACTTAAGTACTTGGGTTGCACCTAAGCAGAACAAGCTGACACATTCTAATATATTTTTCAAAGAGGGTTTGTAAATATATGCTGCACTGACCTTTTCAAAATATTTGATGCAATGACACTTATTTTATCTCATGGCTCAGGTATATGGGGTACCTCATATTGCATGTAGTTATAGAATATCTTTGAAATGTTTCTTTGTAATAGAATCATTAAATCATCTTGTAATGTTATGGCTCGGGGCGAATGTGGCACATTCCCTTTCCAGCTGATATACATGATACGTGTTGGTAAATCTTGGTGTTGACTAATTCAGCTTCCACAATATAATCATAGACTACCATAAGAAAGTTACATTACACTAGTTCTAGACAGCTGTGGGCGCAGAATCGGGGTAACAAAGGTTAAGAGTATTGTGAGTTCTTATGGCATTGGTTTTGCCTGGTTAAGCCAAAATGTCAGTGATCTGTTTAAAAAAGGCTTTATGACACTTTGCTACAGTCATGTCAGTCCAGTGGTAAATATCCTGGAAATGTGGTTATTATAAAGAGTTCAGGTCAACTCTTGATGTTGACCGTATCGATTTCATGATATGTCTCACCAGACTGTGTTTGTATTGTAAACCAAAGGGTTTAGTCCATACTGAGAATGAAATGCATTAACTATTTCTTCATGAATCTTACTTAAAACTAA